GGATTGAGTGTAGTTCCGAATGGCCCCGGTGATCATGGTCTCCACCTCGTCTCTGGTGTATGTTCGTTCATTGGAGACTTGAGCCGGGGCCGTGACTGGTTTTCTCGAAGCAGCTTCGCCACTCTGGAACTCGAAAGAGGGGCTACCCGAGACAAAGGGAATCCGACCTTCCTTTTCAGGCGTAACTAGGCTACATCCTGATTTGTCCTTTAAGACGGACGACGGATCAGTGGGCGTATCGCGAGCTGCTGCATCTAGTTCCTTCTGCAAATTTCGGGTAGTGGTGTCTCCTTCTTCCATTGTTCTCTACGTTTATAGCTCAGATCTGGACTTCCGGGGGCAGATCTGATATTTTCCTGGAAGTTGTTTCCAAAATTTCTAGATCTTTCCCACCGACGGCGCCACTTGATTTGGTCCGTGGGGCTTCCGTCTTCCTCAAGTCACCTTGGTCCGTACTCCGGTGAGGGTACCTGCAACGCCGGGAGGGGTTCCCGGCGGGAGAGCTCCGACGATCAAGTCAGTGATCGGAAAAGATGAGTATGTATATAATGTAGTAGTAGATAATGTATTTTCGTGTGTGTATGTGTTTAATGATCCTTCTATTTATAGATGAGGAAACCTTGGCCTCCAAGGTTTCCTTTTTTAGGGTTTGCTCCCCCCTCAAGTCAAGTGTTTGGGCCTCTCTTATTGGGCCTGCTTTAGGTCATGCTTATACTGGAATACGAGTCATGGTGTTGCCAGCTCGTCGTTCGGAGGTCGCCGTCCGACATCGTGTTTTATAATAGTAATTTGGCTCTTCTCAACTTGTATTTACTCGTCTCGTCATAGTGGCCCGTATCAGAAAGAATCTTTAATAATTGCAAACAAAATTGCAGAAGAAATATTTCTCGTATAAAAGTACAAAGTAAAACTATAATTTTCATCGGCTCTTCACACGCAAGGGTTTTGTGTCAATAAAAAAATGAGATCGTTGAAATTGGAAATAAATAAATAATAAAGAATAGTTTTCAATCGAAAAAAGGATAATCACTTAGAAAAATATTCAAATTTCATCCAAATTTTAATAATAATCATTAAAATTAGTGAGAGTTGAAAATAAAACTCACAAAAAAACCATTCTAAACAAAACACTAAGAAAAGTAATTGTTAATTGAAGTAGAAAACAAAGTACAATTTTTTTTATTAAATAAAATTATATTCTACTTATTGGCATAATTTAACAATGTAACAAGATATTTATAGATTTTATAAATGTAATAATAATATTTTGATGGCATAGAGCAATTAGCATGATACATAATTATGAAATAATAGATAAATTAATACGACACGTGCAACGCATGTGCACATGTCTAGTGACAATAAAATTCTATTAATTGTACACACAAAAAAATAAAAATAAAAAAAATGATCTAGTGGTTAGTGTAATAATGAACCTGGTTTGAATCCTAATTGTAGCATAATAATGAACCCTTAGTTTGGACTTACTGCTCTCGCCGTCTTCTATCTTCCAACGTTTGCTTTCCAAGCCACATATTTAGTCATATCCAAAACAGGGGAAAAGATATCCTCATATTTTGTTATAATAATTCTTATTTCTAGCATATATTCCTTGCACTTAACAATAGTAATTTGTCGCAACAAAGAAAAAAACATAATGGAATATGAGCTTGGACTTGCTGCTCTCACCTTCTTTTTTCTTCTAGCGTCCCTATTTTGTTACTCATGGATAGTAGTACTCGGCAACTCAAAAACACGAACAAAGCCACCACTTCCGCCCGGGCCATACGGCCTTCCGATTCTCGGATACCTCCCGTTTCTCAAACACAACTTGCACCACCAGTTCACACTACTGTCTCACAAGTACGGCCCCATTTACCGCCTCTGGCTCGGCAGCAAACTCTGTGTCGTTGTAAGTTCGCCTTCCTTGATAAAGCAGATAGTTCGCGATAAAGACTCCATTTTCGCGAACCGGGACCCGCCGGTTGCAGCACTAGTCGCCACGGGCGGGTACGACATCGTCTGGACGGCAAACGGTCCCTACTGGCGCGACATACTGAAGCTGTTCGTTCGTGAGATGATGAGCAACACCAACCTCCAGGCTTCGAATGTTTTCCGCACGGAGGAAGTGCGGAAGCTTATCGGGAATCTCGATACACAAATCGGGAGTCCCGTTCAAATTGGCGAACTCATTTTTCTGACAGAGCTCCATGTACTGATGAGCTTGCTCTAGGGAGGTGAGATGGACCCCATGGAGCGAAGCAGGCTTGGAGACAAGTTTCGGGTTCATATTTCGAAACTCGTCGATTTGTTGGGAAAGCCTAACGTTTCCGATTTTTTTCCGGTTTTGGCTAGGTTTGATTTGCAGGGAATCGCGAAAGAAATGAGGGGTGTGGTGGTTGAGGTGGAACGAATTTTCGATTGTTTTATCGATGCGAAAGTGAAGAGCATGGCGGCTGGTGGTGGTATGGAGGGTGAAGAAAGGAGTAAGGACTTTATGGGAATTCTTTTGGAGCTCAAGGATAAGCAACTCGGAGAAGGCTCAACATTTGGTTTAACTCAAATCAAGGCGATTTTGATGGTAATTTTCTCCACTTTCCTTCATTTCATTTTCTTGTTGGTTTGCCCTCCGTCTCTTAATTTATTCGAAGCTAGATTCGACACCGTCGTTCAGTAAAAGCTTGTTTGTACTCGATTTGTTAACATAACGAAACAAACTTGAACACATATACTTTTGTTATTGATAAGATTTGAGACTCGATCGCTTTGAGTCGGGAATCGATTAGAAAAAAAAAATTAAAATCAAGCTACTCGAGTTTGATTCGTGCTAACCTCTATTGCTTATTAATCCAAGCTCAGACACAACTCTACTCAATGCGCTTATGCGTGCCCCTAGTTCTGTTGTTTCTTGAATATATAGGAGAATTAGTTTTTGTGTTCAAATTTGAAGATAAAAAACCGCTAAACATTTTTATAGGCATAAACCCTCTTGTGATCCAAAGTCACGACAAATATACTCTTTCAAGCTAACAATGTAACTCTTTTTGTGATTCTCTTTCATTGAAATGACATAAAATATGCTCTTTGATTATAGGATATTGTTGCCGGCGGGAGCAATACTACGGCAACGATGGTCGAGTGGGTGATGACCGAGCTTTTGCACAACCCGAGTATAATGCAAAAAGTGCAGCAAGAAGTAACAAATGTTGTAGGAGCGAACAACGTCGTTGAAGAATCCCACGTATCGAAACTGCACTATCTCGAAGCAGTTGTAAAGGAAACATTCCGCCTACATCCTCCATTGCCACTCCTCGTTCCAAGGTATCCGAGTGAATCTTGCACGATCGGAGAGCACACAATCCCAAAGGGGTCAAGGGTCTTCTTGAACATGTGGTCAATCCACATGGACCCGCATGTTTGGGAGAATCCTTTAATATTTCGACCCGAGAGATTTTTGAATGATAACTCCGAAAAATTTGATTTCATTGGAAACAACATTGAGTATCTTCCGTTCGGATCGGGGAGAAGGGTGTGCCCTGGTATTCCGTTGGCTGAGAAGATGGTAATGTATTTGTTGGCAACACTCGTTCATACGTACGAGTGGGGGTTGCCAGAGGGACAAAAGATTGACCTGTCCGAGAAATTTGGGATTGTTATGAGGAAAGAAACACCACTCATTGCTGTTCCTTATCATAAATAACCAAATATGAACTTGTTTGTATGCATAATTATGGGTTTTTTGCAAGGACCACCCCTCTATAATTTTGAATTGCCGAAAAACCCCTCGTGTTAAATAAATTAGTAGGAACCCCCCGATGAAAATTAGTCAAAGGCAAAAAATCCCTTGACAACATGTCGTGTGTTGTACGCGCGGCTTGTGTAAGTGAGAGTGTAATTTTTGACGTGAAAAGTCAAAAATACCCTCTTAAATTATTTTATAAATAAACATAAATCCAATTGGGTTTAAATGCAAATAATACAAACTTTTGGATCGAATTATAATTTTAGCTGCAAGAATATATGTAATGATATATCTAATTATCTACTAAGGCCCCGTTTGGTTGGGGAGATTGGCCATGACTAACTAATTAGTTAGACTTTGTTGGATGTTTGGTATTCTCAATAACATGCCGGGTCGACCCGCAAATATTATGTTATCAAGGCTTATCTTGCCTTTTAAGCATGTTTTTTTGTTTGACCTTCCAAGGTCCAACAAAATTATTGGGTTTCATTAGATTATTTAGTCTTATATTGGCTAATCTTATCTTGGTAACCGAACGGGGCCTAAAAATAAAGATATATATATATATAGTTAGTTTTTCTTCTGTTTTCTCGGTTTATTCCTTCAACATGTATGTGGGTGTTTATGTGTGCATTTTCCTTGAAGTTTCAGTTTTTTTCGAATGAAAGACAAGGCCTGACCCAACGAATAGACTAACAAGGTCTGCACCTTGAGTCTTAAATTTTTTTTTTTTAGCGGCCCCAATGGGGAGATATCAAAATGATGTCAAACACTTAATTGATGTTTGATATAATATTTTGATACTTTAAGAAAATTCATGTGCTCCGGCCCATTAGTATCAAATAAATTATTATTCATTTTTTGTTGTATTATGTTGAGATTTTATATTTTTTCACGTTAAAATTGCATGATCTAATTTTTAAGGAATAATTGATTCTTCTTTTTTTTTTTTTGCACCTCAATGTGATGGAGTATCAAAAAAACCACCCCTCTTTTGGAAGGAATTCTAGGTATTAAAAAGATAGTTTTAGAACAACTCCAGTGGGGGAATTAAATGGAGTATTAAATGCTAAAACTACCAAAACTCAAAATTTCTTCTCCAATGGCGGCATTAAAGGGGTAGTTTTTTTTATACTTCATCTACTTGAGGTGCAAAAATGCACCCAAAAAAATTAAAATATCAAATATTCCTCAAAAATAGTAACCGCAGTTTCAACGTGAAAAAAATATTTTTTTTTTAATAAATTCCTATAGAATAGGGACCAATTATATCTATCAATCATGTTTAATGCATTTTTAAAAATAAAATAATTTTATTTGATGCCTATGGGTTGGAACATATAAGTTTTTTAGAAGTACCTAAGTATTATTTCAAGTATCAAATGAGGATTAGATGTTCCATTTTAATACCTACCATTTGAGTTGCCCTTATCATTTGATACTCCACTTAATTTCCCAATTGAAGTTGCTCAATATGATATTTTTAATGTACTATGTATTACTTTTATAAAAGTTATTCTCGGTTCAGTGTCAATGTACGTTCTTACCTACATGATGCACATCTCAAGTTCGACCATAGCCTTCAAAAATTGTGATATGCCTAATTGGGCCAATTCAATGGGCTTACAATTTATTTACCTACTGGGCCAAGAGCCTAATATTGAAGATCACTACCATCGAGGCCCAATCACCTTCAAATAAGGTTTGGGTCCGACAATCTCAACTAAGGTATAAATAAAGGTACAATTTATTATTCAATGAATTCAACTGCTCGTATTCTCTCTACTATCATCGAACTATCCGCACGTCTGACTTGAGCGTCGGAGGGGTTTCCGCCGGATCAACCCCCGGCCTAGTTCACGTGTTCTCTGTTCGCAGGTATCTCAGGGTCATCTAGTACGTGAGCAGTGATCCACTTTGCTCTCCAAGGTTCCTCTATCTCAACTACTTAAGGTGATCTATTTATAGCATCATCAAAATGGCGCCGTCTGTGGGAAGGCATACAAGATTACGTATCGTGCATGATGTCCCCGAGTCATCTACTCAGAGAGAACGTGACAATGCTAACAACCTCCCACCTCGCGGAGGCTCTGACTTGCCACTTCCTCCTCGTAATCAGGATCCACCTCGTGAAGTCCAGATAAATCCTCCGCAAGATCCACCACTCCTCGCTCCTCAAACGGTTCAGATAACCGAAGAGGCCCTCCAAGACATGATCATACTCACTAGCTTCATGTGAAACGTTTGCTTCTGTTTCAGCAAGCTTAACACGACATTTTTTTTTGATATGACCTGCTTTCCCACACCGATTGCAAGCCACCTTGACACGGCAATCTCGCTTCATGTGACCCAACTTTCCACACCGATAACAACCTTTTGAATTGCCTTTGAATTGTCCTTCACTTTTGAGTTACTTGTAATCAGCTTCTTTAGAATAGACATACTTTTTCTTATTATCCTTAGTGTAAAGAGCATCCTCCGATCCATTTGAGAGTAAGCCTTGTTGCTGGTCATATGTTTCACCAAAGCTTCCTGATTTGAAAGCAAAATTTCCAACTCGATAATTGAAGGTTGGGCTGCCCACCCTTGTACCGAAGAGATAAAGGGCATAAATTCTTTTCGTAAGCCTCGGATAAGATACCGACGCAAACGTGCGCTATTGATAGGCTCGTATGTATCTAATTATGAAATCTCGGCACATAAAGGTTTAATTTTCAGAAAATACTCTGAAATTGAGAGATTTCCCTGAGTCATCCCGGCGAGATTATTCTCCAAAAACTGCAACCGTATCGTATTCTTTTGAGTGAACAGCCTTTCAAGTGTCTCCCATACATGTTTTAGCGATTTTTCCTCACGAACAAGCTCGATGTACTCCTTGCTGATAGATGCCCGCAAAGCAAACAAAGCTTTGCCGCATTTTATCTTCCACTTCCTCCACAACTCAACATTATGTGGTGTATCTTTTGGAATTACCGATTCATTACCAAAGATAAGATCCCACAAATCTTGCCCTTGTAGATAAGCTTCTATACATAACTTCCAGTAACTATAATTGTTACCATCAAGCTTATCTACACATGATGCCATGCCTCCACTATTCATCTCAAAGAGTAATAAAATCAAACACTTGGTAGGAAACCAAGCTCTAGTACCATGTAAAGAATAAAACTCAGCAAGCCATAGAAGAAAGAGAATAAATTTATTATTCAGAATAGTAGAGAAGAATTGAAGTGATGAAGAAACTCAAGTTACAGACTCTGAATTTTATAGATAAATAAAAAATAACTAAACACCTAAATAAACTCAAAAACTTTGACAAAACTATAAACGTGCTTCCTAAATAAAATGATAAATAAAACAAACTCTGACTTATTCATAAATCCTAAAGACTATGATAGATTAGTAAGTTTGACTAATTCTCAACACCGTCGCCTACGACAGCGAGAAGCTGTAGTACTATACTATTTCGTCGAACCATCGTGTGGCTGGGAAAATGCGGGTTAGTCGACAAGAGGCATCTTCCGGTACTACATAAATTGAGCGCCTGGTGCGCGCTTGTCAGAAGTGAGTTTGCAGGTGATGGAGTTGAGAAAAATTGACGAAGAGGAGAGGTGTGTGGTGCCCCACAAACCCGATTTTGCTATGAGAGAGTGGTGTATATTGCGGGGAGTGTTGGTGGTTTGGTGTCCCCCGCCGTGGACGATGGTCGAGAACGGTGATGGTAAAGTTTGAGAAAATAAAATATTATTCGATTTATTTTTTTGGTTTATACTTTTTTTTTATTAAAAAAAAATAAAAAAAGAAAGAAAATAAGTTGGGGGCAATTCTGTCATTTCAGACAACAAAAAGGAAGAAAAATCGCAGAAACAGCGAGCGAGACACACGATTTGCGATAATGGGGATTTTTGCCTTTGACTAATAAATAGGGGGTATTTACTAATTTTTTTTATGACAAGTGGGAAACGCGCAGTCGCGATTTTCACAGGGGTAGCAATTGCAATAAGCTCCTCTAATTAAGGATATTCGTAACAAATTACTTAAAGAAACATAATATAGTTAAGTGTATTCTCTTAGGTTGTTTTTTCGCACATTTGGAAGTTGTCTCTCGTGCACGTGTCTTGTTCACGTAGGTGCACATCGGTACACGTCTTTTATGGAGAGTTTCTGTTTTTTCTCGATTATTGCCATTTAAATTGGATGGTTATGGCAAGATGATTATGTGGGGTAGAGAATATAGAAAAAAAGAACGACGGAGTGAATATACAGTAATACATGTACCAGACTAGATTCATGTTAGGAAAATCTAGCCATTTGGAACAAGTCAAGTTTTCAAGATTAATAGAATTCTCCTATTCTCCTCCACTTCTCATGCGTGTGTGAGAGTGTTGAGTGAGTGTGCTCTCCATTTTTCTAACAGTATTAGCTAAGACAGCTACAACAGGGCTTATTCGCAGTTGGTTCGTTACTGGTAATTGTTTATTCACTTATTTGTTCAATTTTATTCTTATATCTCAGTGTCTTCTATTTTGGTTCAACTGTTATAACCAAAAGTCGATAATCTCAAAAATAATTTGTTGAATCATTCGTCTTGAATAAAATGTCATGAAGATCTATACAAATGAAAGAAAGTTGGTACATTATGGCTTCTTATACAAGATATATACCTTTCTTTTGAGCCCTCTCAGTTTGTTGTTCTGTACAATGCAATAGTAGAAAATTGTTCGGACCAAATTTGATAACGGGAATATTCTGCTTCTTGATACATCTGTTTGGTGTATTCTATAATGCTTGTGTGAATTATTTGTACCTCCATGTAAATGTTTTCGCTCATTGGATCTAGCAGAAAGTGAGCGCAATGTGTGTGCATTTCTTTCATTTGCAGTTTATGTGCATATTTGGAGTATGAAATGTGTATTTTATTATAAATACTATCTTCAAGTAATTGTAAAATACTATCCTTGTGGATTCTTTTTGGCTAAATCCAAACATTCTTGATTTGGTCACATAAAAAATTTAAAATCAAATTAAAGGACGGTTCATGAAGACATCTTTCAGCTTCCGACAGCTACGATTATCATCCACTTCAGTATTGCCAATGAAACACAAGTTGAAGGAGACTGACCAGAAAGAAGATTCAACTCCAACTACGACTTTACCCCCGAGATAGTTACGTTAGATTTTCTCGTCATTCAGTATTTAAAGCAGCAACACCTCCAATGATCAGCTCCAATTA